GCGGCCAATGCCGAAACTGTATTTTTAATAGGCTCGCTTCCATCCACGGCCTCGGTCGCGTCCAAAGATAATTCTGTTGCTCGCATTGGCTTGACGGGCGGTAGCGTAACCGACACGCTCGTGATAAACGAAGAACACCTGAGCGGTACCCTGACGATCGACCCGCAAGGTTTACTCCGCGTTACCACGCAGATGGCCAACGTGAAAGCGGTCGGCGTCGAAAGCGTCAAGGCTCCGGGCGTGACGTTTACCGACGCCGCGCTACAGAGTAAGTTATACCTAGAAACGGGCCCGGGGTCGAAGGTTTCGTGTAACCCGGGCAGCGAATACAGCGTATTCGAATTGGGTAAAAACTCGACGCTCCACATACAGACGACCGGCGCGTTCACGGTCATCGACAGAGCGCTCGCAACGAACATTTCGGTCACGGTGGCCGACAACGTGGTCGCCGCCGACGACGTTACGCTGATAGTGAGGTCTCGCGATGCGCTGACGCCCTCCGCGGTGGATGCTATTTGCTCTCCGTCCGCAAGAGGGCTTTCTATATTCGGCCGCGTTCGTTATTCGGGGCGCGCGGCGCTGGCGCTGTACCCCGACAACGTGGCCATCGGCTGCGTGACAACCGGAGACGCCACGGCACCCTTCAGGAGCGGACACGTGCAATTGCCGGCGTCCCTTCAGAACACCTCCTCCGACGAACTCGTGACTACGTACGCGCCGCTTGTGGCTGCTGGACTTGATGATTTCACAGCGCAAGTGGGTGACTCTGAGCGAGTTTACATCACGCGAGCGCCTCGGTGTGTTGTCGCGGCGCAACAAAACGTAACAAAGCTCCACGTCGCTCTATTGAGCGAAAACACCGACGTGAGCCTAACCGCGGATAACAAATTGGCTGAGCTCGACGTGTACTTGAGCGGATTTAACAACAACGCATCATCGGTCGTCATCTTAGCGAAGGGGTTTTCGTTGGCTAAATTGAAACGAAAAAACAGCGCCGACTACGAGAACGCCTGGACCGACTATATCACGGATCCCGAGCCTTCGTTTTTTACACGGGTGAAACTTCACGCGAACGACGGGATCGCTGTGTCGCTCAAGGATCAATTCACGGGAATCGTCACATCCGTACCAACCGAGTACGAGGAGATTGTTCTCTGGAGGAAATTCGGACCCGTAGAAACGCTGGTTCACAGCGCCGAATTGATGGCTCCGGCGTGGTGACGATTGTTATGTTTTTTTTTTAAAAAAAACAGAAAGTTTTCTGTTATTGATATGATTTTCATCATGCTGAATTTGCACAATAATAAAATAATGTGTATTAAAAAAAGTATCATGTTGTGTTTTTTTAACTAGCGCCCAGATACACAATGCGCTTAAATTTTAAATTCTTTTTTTTCAAACTTTATACGCGTAAAAAAAACAGAAAGTTTTCTGTTATTGATATGATTTTCATCATGCTGAATTTGCACAATAATAAAATAATGTGTATTAAAAAAAAGTATCATGTTGTGTTTTTTTTTAACTAGCGCCCAGATACACAATGCGCTTAAATTTTAAATTCTTTTTTTTTCAAACTTTATACGCGTATAGTGTTGTTGAAAGAAAATAGTTACCAATGGACGTCAACATATAACATCAATGTGATGTCTATCTATCGCGTTGATAAATGAAACGTTTGTTTATGTCAAACATAATCAAAAAAAACTTTTGAAATATATTAATCCCGACCGACCATCGTCTTTTGTTTACATTTTGCGCATCAAAAAAACCCAAACCTTTGTTTACATTTTGCGCATCAAAAAAAACTTTCAGACTAATTCCCCGACCGACCATCGTCGGTAAAAATATTAATCCCGACCGACCGTCGTCTTTTGTTTACATTTTTGCGCATCAAAAAAAAACTGTCAGACTAATTCCCCGACCGACCATCGTCGGTAAAAATATTAATCCCGACCGACCGTCGTCTTTTGTTTACATTTTTGCGCATCAAAAAAAAACCCAAACCTTTGTTTACATTTTGCGCATCAAAAAAAACTTTCAGACCAATTCCCCGACCGACCATCGTCTTTTGTTTACATTTTGCGTATCAAAAAAACCCCAAACCTTTGTTTACATTTTGCGCATCAAAAAAACTTTCAGACTAATTCCCCGACCGACCATCGTCGGTAAAAATATTAATCCCGACCGACCATCGTCTTTTGTTTACATTTTTGCGCGTTTATTTTTGATTGAAAAGAAAACATTTAGTTTTCCTCGACCCAACCACCGTTGTTTACATTTGCACGTAGTCGAAAAATCAACACTGTACGCGTCTTAGGGGAACGTATATACGCGCGAGTGGCAGACGCTCCGGTCCATTAAGATCTAACTAACGCGTCGCGATTGAAAAAAACACACACACACACATCATTTTTTGTTTAAGTGTTTTTATTATTTTTTTTAAAATCTTTTAGCATACAGATGCATCAAGGCTTGACGGGGGGGGTCATGGTGGTGCACAAACACAACTCATGCGCAAACCAGCGCGTCCAACCCCCCACAGATGTATCGAGGCTTAACAGAGACTCGCGGTTGTGCACAAACACAACATATGCGCAAACAAGCACGTCCAAACCCACACAAACACCGGCTAAACAGCAGTTTTTGACGCGTCGCGCTGGATATCTAAGAATAGAGGCCAAAAACAAACACTCGCACAGCGTAGACAGCAACCTTATAACACCTAACATACACAAGAACAACAGAATCTCACAATCGATAAACGTCACGGCGGCTAGTCGACACAGTTCATACGCCAGGCCCCACGCAAATACGCAAAACCACATTTCCATCAGCGTGACTGCCACGGCGAAGATGGTTCGTCTCCCCCTCCTCGCGTTTTTAGGTAAATTGAATGCACACAATGTCAAACACGGGAGGAGTAGCGTGTATCCTCCAATGATCCCAAGTACGAGCGGGTTCCGCACGAAACACCACTATGGAGAGGAAAAAAAAAAGAGATTTATTACACGTACTACGGTTGTGAGGTTTTTTTTTTAATCGCGCGCGTGTGTAAAACTCACCAGCGACATGTACAACAAACCACTCATCGTTGCGTTTATTTCGCTCAGATGTCACGTAGATCGAGTGAGTCGCGTTGCAACAATTGTTCCCAAAAGCTCCTTCGTCGCGTCTGCTTCGGGAAAAAAAAAATCACACACACATAAGTTATCCGTCCGTTATTGTGACGCTATAAAAAAAACATGCACCTAATACGTACCACCGAGTAAGATTGGCACCGTCGGAGGTTCGATACAAATGCTCCCGTTCCGAACAATGCTGAGCCTTATTTAAAACAGCTCGCGATCGGTCGGGCTACATACACGCTATCCCGACCAACCAATCAGTTGACGTTGTGTTTTTTTTTCCACAGTTGTCGGAAGAAACAAATGAAAACATTGTATACGGCCCAATCCACACGCGCTCCTCAGCACTCGCGGTATAAAACTTTGATTTCAAAGTTCCCGCCGGCGTTTCGCGACCGCCTCCGTATTTGGTGACGCAAAAATGGGCGCGGTTTCGGGCACTTTCGGCGCGCGGAGTCCGCCGGAGGGCGTATAACCCTGGTGCGCGGGGGTCCGGTTGACCCCGTTATCGACCGACCGTCCGTCCGTATCGTCGGTCGGTCGGGAATCTCGTTGCGGTGTGTGTGTGTGTGTGTGTGTGTGTGTGTGTGTGTGT